CGGCAGCGGGGGTAGAGGAGAACAGGTCGGAGCGAACACTGCCAAGCAGGGCGAGCATCGCCTCGCCGCACGTTGGGCAGGTAAAAGGCCCCTCGGCGTGTCAGCTTGCCGGCCATGTTCTTGGAAGGGAGCTGCGCCGGTGCTTCGCAGGGCACGCACAGCTGCAGACAGCATCTCCCACAGCGCATCTTTTTCTCACCGAAAACTTTCAAACCTTCTGATTCACGGTCTCATAAAACACTTGCATTAAACGGGCAGCGACAATCAAAGCTGTAATGACTTTCCAAATGTCTCAGCCCTGTTGTTTGAATTAAATCTCGCAGAGATACTAACAAAACTCGGCAAAGGAAGCTACTTATTTCCTCAGGTTTAAAAATAACTTGGTTTTGCTTTCTGACAAGTGAGGTAATGGGCCTCCGGGCTGGGCATATGCTGCTTTTAAACTCAGTAGACTAGTAACTCCATTTCCTGCTGCTCTCTTCTGCAGTTAGGATGCACATTCTTTTCATATCTAGTATTTAATATTCAAAACCTAAAGTAATTCAACAACTAAAATTTTCTTAGGAGGGAAGATGAGTGAGTTCAGATAATCTCCTGCACAAGTAAGAGGCTAGCATAAGTAATTTACACAAGCAAGACAGGGTTTGCAGTGGGGGCCATGGTCTGCAATGGCCCAAGCAGCACATAACTTGGAGCATCTGTTAAGCCAGCTAGTGGTTGTGACAGAAGATACTGCCCACCCTACCAACTCTTATTTCATGTCATTAGATAGGAAGGCTACAACACTGGCAATCTCCACAAGAGCAAAATGCTAGCTGCCAAGAAAGAAGTTTTGGGTTACTTTTTTAAAGAGCTTCCTTTCCCCCCTGCCCCCTTCTGCTTACAGCTCACATTCAGAAGCATGCACATCTAAGTTCCTGGCAAGCCCTGTGCAGGAACGTTCTAGTTACTTCTGTACTTCCTATTAAGAAATATTTTTCTCACCCGCTGATTCCACTTTTTTAGTTCTTCTTTTGAAAGCGTGTATACAGCTGATCCAAGTTCACCCCAGTGAAACAGAAATACCTTTAAATTAATAGGAGTAGAATAACAGTTGTATTTTCTACTCAGAAATACAGGCATCTTCAGGAAACCACTGGCACAAAGTCAGTCTAAAACACTGCTAAATTTGAAGCTTTTATTAGTTACACTGTCTACCTCATCTTGTTAAGTGCATCCTGTGTGGTAAGAAGAGATACTGACAACTCCTTAATAAATGAAATTTGGTGGCCGTAAGAGCATCTGTCATTCATGTAATGGCTAGCCCAGCCCTAACCCGTGACACACATGTATGCAGGGGACTAAATTTTTCAGAGACAATCTGAAACAAGTTATTTGTAATGACAAATAGCTTCGTTTTGCAAGGTGATTAGCATTTTTGTTGTTGCTCTAAATCTGTAGTAAGAATTTCACTAATGATTTAATCACTTACCAGTTGTTCTTTTAAATAAGGTTTCTTTCAAACATACAAACACTAAGCTATGCCTGCAGCCACAAATCTTGTTTTATGATAAGCCACAGCTAGCTTACCTTCTTTATCAATATTAGAATATACAAATGTGTAAATCGTAGTTTGCAAATTGCTGGAAGAAACAGATCACCTTTTGGGTGCTTAAGCTTTTCTTCAGGCCTGAAATAGGAGGAGCAAACTTCAGAAATAAATCTCAGCTTCTACTGGTTGTTCCAATTTTAACAAGATACTCAGAACACTTGAAAAAGAGGCAGTTGGTACTTGGGGAACAGCTGAGAAAGGAGACAGACAAGAAAAAAAAAAATGGGAAGTAAGGTGATTATCTTTCTAAAACGAAAGAGCAAGGCAGGTAAGTTATGGTTTGTGAAGGAAAACAAACAAACCAACAAACCAAGGCCAAGCATAAAGCAAACTTCTGCCTAATTCTGAATTTTTTAAAAAAATTCAGAATTCAGGATTCAACTCAAGAGATTTGCCTTTGGAAGACATTCCACACATCTTCCCTTGAGGATCAGTGCTGAAGTCTCAGAGAGGTGGTAGATATTTTGCCAGAATCATTCCTTACCTGGCAATAGTGTGGTTTTGTCCTTCACTAGTGGACTTATTCCGACATGTAGCACATAGTTTCCATGACAGTTTTTGGATGAAATATATTCCTCCCTCTTACTACCTCTACCCACAAATGTTGTCTGGGTTAAGACTTTAGAACAGACCACTGCAGTTACCACAAAATCATGAAACATTTGTGCAAACATAGTCATGTTCTTTGGACTTAACATATAGGTACATCAGATACTAGTTAAGAAAGAATTTCTGTTACTACAGAGGCATTTTTACTGATGAGAAATCACTGATGAGATTTCCATTCTGACTATATTTCTAGTCACATTTTATCAGTTGACACTTGGATCATTTTTATGCCTTTGAGTTTTTCCAGCAATTGAAAGGAGTGTATGGGATTTTAATGACACATTTTATCTGTGTAGATAAAATGCATAGTTTGTAGCCCTTCTTCCATCTCACAACTGGGTAATTTTAGCAAGCAGCAGACAGCCTGACCTTTGTTGTACAAGCCAGATGCAATCTACAGCCAAATATAGGTTTTAAAATAATATCTTGGCTTCCCTTACATTGAAATCCTGTGACTCTGGCAGATAATAAAGAAAACAACGTGACTGAGAACAGAATTAGCTGGCTGCTGATAAATCTTCTTGGCTGCAGGGCATTCTTGTAAGTAAGCACACATCATTTAGTTCCAGGGAGAAAGAAGGTTTTATTAAGCAGTAAGATTTCTCTACTACTACATATAATTGTCCAACTAAGTTTTTGAAGACTGGAAGAGAGTCCAGATCCTCTTAATCTAGGAAGAAAAAATGTACCAATCATTTTAAATGAGAAAAAAATCTTTAAATAATAACACAAACTAATCTTACACTCTCAACATATTTCCTGGAAAAAATTCGCTAGGTAATTTCCAAGTCATTTTCAAAAGGTATCTGTTTTGAAAGTCATAATCCTCTGTCACTCTGCTTGACTCATATTAAAATATGAGTGGCAAATTAAAAACTTAAATTGTTAAACTAACAATTCACAGATTATGCCAGCAGACAGGACGAGAGTGAGGAAATTAATTGTTTCTAGCACTAGCACCTTGACAATCCTTCTATGGATTTAATCTTCATATCTTTTAATGGGTTTTAGAAGCCTAGATTTTAATTAGGACAGATTCATGCCCTAATCTAATGAGAAGAAAGAAAAACAGTCCCCTAAGAAATAAAGTGCATTACTTTTAGTAGGCGTTTTGTAATCTTCTTAGTAGGTGAAGCACTGAACACTAAGGGGCTGTTGTTTAGACTTACGTATTGAAGCCTACTGGATTTAAGAAACCTATCAAAAATAATGCACTTCAGGTGTAACATTCCTTCAGTGAGCTTCAGACCTACAGTAACAGGTTCCAAAAACAACCTCATGGTTGTGGGAAGCTGTTAGAATATGCAAACTGACAGGATCATCAGAATTCTTAGTAGCATAGACTTTATGCTGAAAAATAAATTTAAAGAAAGAACAACCTTCTACTCTCAGTTTACAAACCATGCACAGTTGGGTCAATTAGTTATTTATTTTAAAAGTTTGGGGTGTTTTTTTTTCTGTACAATGTCACTTTTTTATACATAATAATGACAGAGTATCAATCAGTTTTTATTTGTAGCATTTAGTATCAAAAGTATACTTGTAACATTTAAACAGTTACATTTACAAAACTGGCACATTGTCTGAGTAAGATTTATTAAGGGTACAGTACTAATATCTACACAATGTCTAGAAAAGTATCACATTAATTTTAAAAGAAGCAGTATGAAATTTTATTGTACAGTACAAAGTCAGTGTTAGATGTCTCTAAAGATGGTATGAGAAATAATTATTTAATATCAGCTTAAAATATAGCGTCTAACAGAAGCGTTTGAGAAGAGCTCACCCCTCCTCCAAGCTTTGGTCAAGACTGTAATCTTCAAGTTATTTTATACTACAGAATTAATTTTAACAAAATTTTTACTGCAAAGTTCGTGATCGCCAAGATATAAAGCTAAAATACGTATTTCCAGCATAGCAGGAGGTAACCATGAAGGCAAAGAACTGTAGAGAGAGGAGAAAAAATAAATTAGGAAAAACAACATATATTTGAGATCACTGTCCTTTCTAAGAAAAAAGTAGTTCTTGAATTTGGAAAAAGGAGAAATAGCAGGCTCACTAACATGGTATTCTTTCACCACCTTATACTTGTACGGCCATCACAGTTGGCACTAAGTGAGCTTACATTATGAATAGATATATGGGCCTAGAAGCAGAGGAAACATGGTTTATTTCAACTCCTATCTCCACATTATAGTGCCTCAGTATAGATCTTACAGACTGTAGTCCCACCTATACTATAGTTACTGCTTTTAGCATCAGTTGCTGGTAGAGTCTGAGGGATAGTCCATGGCCAGCTCAAACTAACCCTCCTGCACTGCTGCTGTGTTGCAGGAATTGCTTCCAGCCCACCTGTACCTCAGCAGGCCACACTGTCCATCAAAGCAGGTTTGTATATAGAGGAAACATGGATCCAAATGCAGGCCCAGACATGTTCTCAAACACCAGTACTGATTAGGTTACCAATTATAGAGGTCCTCAGTGCAGTAACAGGGACAGCAGCCGGGCTGGGATATTACTACTTTGTGACAAATTGATTACAGAATAAACCTTCTGTAGTAGGCTAGATTTATTTTATAGATGAAAACTACACAATTACCAGTGGTGTTGCTTCTACAGTCCTTTGGTTTCTGTGTGTGTGCTTCAAGAACAGCTGTGAACTATTTCAGTTGTACTGATAAAGTCCAATTCAGTGTTAGTGGCTAAGTTCCTGTTAATCTCTGCATGTTGTTCAAAACAGATAATGTTGAAAATGGTCTTGACATTGAGAAAAAGTCAAAAATTACTAAAATCATGCAAGTACAGAATTACAAAGTTGGGCAACCATGAAGAGTCTGTATGGTGACCATGACAACTACGATGAAACTAGAACACTGCAAACTAGCTTCTGGTCAACCATTGTTAGCATTAGGTCCAGTGTCTGTGCAAGGCTGGGACAGAGCTGCAACAGAATGCAAGGCTCATCAAAGGCTTACTGATCAATCAAGAATCAAGATGTCACCCTCAGTTACCTTAAGCTGATTACAATACATTAAAATACTAAAAAACACACACCTAGGAGGAGACTTTGTGCGTGAAAGAAACATAAATGAAATCCCAGGTAACCAATCAGCTATTGCGTCATGATTTTCCTCAGTCACCCTTTTGTATGCAGGACCCTCTGTGATTCCTGGGGATGTGCTAGCTTTGCAGATTATCACCTAGCACACTTCCTGCACAGAACTGGAATAACAAATACCTCAACTCTGTGTGTCGATTGGTTTTCTGTACACTGGGTAAAGAACCCAGATTTGTGGCAACAGTCTTGCAACAAGACCAGAATATTTTGTGCTGGAAAATGAACCAAATAATGCTGATGCTGCAGATAGGATTAACACTGGCTTTCTAAGAGGTGAGCAATGATTGGACAAGACAGAACAAAAGCAAGTTACACAAAGGGAAATTTTAATTACATATTAGGAGAGTGAAAAAAAAAAAAAAAAAAAATCACAGTGAGAGTAATCAAAGATGGCAAGAGAGGCGCAGAGGCATTGTGGAATAGCCTGTCCTTGGAAATACTCAACACTGAGAGCAGGGCACTTACACCCATGCATACAGGCAGTAAAGCTAAATCCTCCACAGAGGGATCTTGGTGAGTCTTGTCTAATGTAAATTTAGTCTGTGGCACCAAAAACTGCAGGTGATGATGTAAAATATTATTACAGTAAAAAACTGCAGCATTTTTATTTTCCAATAATTTTGTTTCTTACAAAAAAAAAAAAAGCTCCATCTAAAATCTTTCTAACAGAGAACAATTGTTGGAGATAAGATGATTTACTAAATTCTCACAAATAACTATCCATGAAACTCTTAATGGGTTCAGAAAGCAAGAATCTACATTTAATAGTCTATTTAGACAGTGCATTAGATAAACACTATTAGGAGGTATTAGCAGAGATTCCAAGCATCCCATGAGACACTGATCGTTCATGCATTTTGCATAAAATCTGAATCAGCATGGAAGCTTATGCAGCAGCAAGCAAGTCCCTGTCAACAGCAGTGGCTGAGTAACAGATCAATAGCTACAAACTGCCAAGGGGAGAAGACCCTGAACACCACTGAAGTGACAGGGACATGGTTATCCAATTCCCAAGACAAAAACAGAGCAGGTGTTCAAGTCTCTGTGTTCACGGCTGTAAGCTTGGGTCATTAAGACAGGATTTGTGAATATTCCAGGGAAGACAAATGCAGAAGCATGAACAGTCAGCAAAGTAGCTGTGATTCAGACTTACTGTTGCATTGGACTACTATTGCCACAACAAGCAAAAAGTTCTTTTACAAGTCCCTTAACTTAGCTAGAGAATGCGTTCATCTACTCAGAAAATGACAAGGCTTATTAAAAATAAATAAATTAATTTAAAAATTGGTTTTTGCCCACTTTGACTGCTCTGGATTTCCCAATATAAGTCATAAGACAGTAATGTCAGACTAATTAATCATTTCCATCTACTTTAAAACACTGGGAAGTTACACGATTTTTCAGATCAAAAGGTGAGGCTGTAACAAGATTACTGTAGAAACCATAATACCACTTCAGGACCTTCCCAAAGGTGCTATGTAGTTGGCTCAGCCCACAAAAGCTGAATGCATCTTACCCACGTGTGCAAATTTAGCTGAGTTAGTTTAAACTGCTTTAAGTTGTGCAAGTTCATTGAGGTGACTTGATGCTCACATAAGCTGTTTTGTCTGCTCGGATGTGCAGACTATAACCTCTGCCAGAGCACTAATAATAAATCTGGGCAGGGGAGGAAAAAGCAGTATGATCTTAAAATCATCAAAGCCTTTTCCGATGTGACTGTCATCTCCTGGTGAAATTCCAATCATCTCCAAAAACTATGAACTAAATTACAGCTACCTATAGGTTTTGTGCATGAGATTCTGCATCAATCTGCAGCTTCTCAAAATCCAGAACACATGCATTTCAACCCACACGTCCAGCAGCCTTCTCTTGATACAACTCTATTTGACATAGAACTGGTTTAAGCAAAAAATGAACTCACTGAAGAAGCTGCCCAGCTGTTGTAATTGTGACTGTCCAGTTCTTTGGTAACTGAAGATGCATCTACAATGGCAGCAATGAGGTACAAAACAAAGGCACTTCCATTAAAACACAGACCCTGTTGAAAAACCAAACAACGTAAGTAATTAATATGCACACGCATTTGTTACCATTTTCTATTCCAACACTACAAAACTCTCCTCTGAAATATAATTTAGACATACAAGGTACACAAGAAATGTGATTCTTAACAATTTTTACCTTCTTCTAAGTAACATTAAAATTTACACTTCGTATGCTTCATACACTTAAAAATGAGTGGTGTTTATCTCACCTATATTGCTTAATCTAATAACAAGTATTATCTTTATCCACAGATCTCACCTCTCTTGTTTTATCTGGGCATTATAGTAATAAAATAATAAGCTACCAATTTTAGCATAAGATGACAACATTTGGCAGGTTCAGGTGAACTTCCGTAAAACACTGATTTTAAACTCCAAAGTTGATTGCCTAGAGTATTTGTTGATATTTTTAGATTTCCTGTTCCAAGATGACTCAATTACCCTGGAAAGCTACAAATCCCTGCAACATCTTGTCATGTAGAAAAGAAAAAAGCACATACTTTTTGAGAAGTGCTGCTCTGGGAAATAGCACTGTTGGGGAAGATGGAATGCAATGCAAGCTGATTGGGCCATTACTGCCAATATATTACTCAAACCAAATGGTTCATGCTAAATTACCATCTGCTTCTTAAATTTACATTTACCAGATTTTAAAAGCTTCCATTGATTGTTTTAGCAAAGAACTCGCAGTATTAAAGGAGAGTCAGTTTGGAAGCACGTCCTTTGGGTTAATTTGCAGTAAAAGTAACTGCATCTTAAGCAATTTGGTGATGTGCTTAACCTGCAAAAAGTGAATTTATGACAGAGAAGTCCAGATGTAATTTTGGATACTGCATACAATAGGCACACAGTCTGAACTAACTGTTGCCTAAGGAACCAGAGCAATAACTAGCAGAGACTGAAATTCAGGATACAAGAGAGAACAGGGGGAAGGTGGGCATAAACTCTCTCACTCAAAAAGGTCATGCTTTTTTGAGTGAAGAGATTAACAACATCTCCCTGAAAAGAGACCCAGCATTTCTCTTGGCCAGCCAGGAGTGGCAGAGGTCCAAATCAAAGGCTGTTCACAACAGCTCTTTTAATACCTAGGGTAAAACAAGCTGGAATGTGAGGATCTTTTATTTATTTTGCATTTATTTTCTCTCCAGATTCCCCTTTACTAGAAAGGGACACTACCTTTGGACCTACATTTATGTGATCTTATCGACAATACATTTGGAACTCAGAGTGAGAAATAAAACATTCAATATGAAGTAGGAACAAATCAAATACTCCAGCTTGTCTACCATAGATCAGGGGTAACTCATTTATGTGCAGCTTTTGTCTAATAATAGTGTTAAACTGATGAAGGAGGAGTAATGACTAAAGCTGTATCCAAATTAATAAGAAGGTGCTTTCCCTTTGAATATGTCTTACTTGCATCTAATGCAATGGGAAAAAAAAACCAAACAAACATTCCATTGAAATGGATCCAGGCACTTTCCTGCTGTAACTGAAATAATCCAACATTTCTATAGCAGTGTTATAAACCTTAATGGTAATTACTGGTCATGAAACCTGAAACCAGAGAAGCTATCTGAATGTAATCCTGGTTGTTCTTATTAGTAATTGCTGTAACTGGGTATTTGTTACAGCAGCAAATGGGAAGATGAAAAGAGTATTCCATTTTAGTGATGTACACAATATAACTGATAAGCTGTTTGCAACACAGAAGTCAAATATATTTTATGATAAAAATAACAGAATTCTAGTCAATCTTCAGATAGTAAAAACAACAAACCACAGTATCTCACAGTATCAGACAAATGCAAGACTAAAATTGATAGTAATGCTTGGATAGGTCAGAAATAGCCAGTTGGCCAAAATTACTTTTACGCTCTACTACCCTTGACAACAGCCTGTTACAAAAATCAGGTAAAAATAATACTGTTGAGAGGTACAGCTAGCGAGGTTGGTTCAAACCACAAAAATAGTGACTCTTTTCCATAATTACATTAGCTGTTTATCTGATTTGCATTGTCTTGAGCTATAAGCTAAGTATTACACGGCCTGTATTTTACATATATGCAACACTAATTTTCACAGTAAGCCATATATGGATTGTTAGACTTGCTACCTCTGAACCACCTTTGCTTTTACTTTAGCAGAGGAAGAGTGATGTTTTAAGAGCCAGGGTCTCTCTTTCAACTCACAGTGTGGTTTCAAGTAGGAATTTCAGCTGTTTAAGCTGTACAGCCAGGTCTGTTAGCTCAGAGGCAGCAACAGGCTCATTCTTCATGGTACATAATTATTACAGGGAGAAAGAGAGGCCACGTTGCATAAGTATCAGTCACACAATTATTAAAAATCAAACTACTACATCAACCACTGAACAAAATGGTGAAACAACACTGGAGAAGTGTTTTAAAAATGTCTGGGTAGTATGAATGTTAAACGCTGCAGTTACGCAGCCACGAGGGAGAAGTCTGCAAAAAGCAGAGGTACAGTTGGTTAGCTACACCTACAGAATGCATCCATATTTTAACCTCTTCACAACCCAGCCAACCCGAAACAAAGAACAGGCGTATTTACCACTGTGGTCCATGGCACCTGAGGGATCCTGGTATAGGTCATCGTCATATAGATGATCAGAAAGAAGAGGGTGAGGACCCAGTAGAACACGGCTACAAACATGACCCAGCCGAAGGCCGGGTACAGGAAGTATTCTGTCCCAGCAATCAGCGTCCACACCAGCAGCCCCAGCACCTGCACAAGTGACGGAGAGGAGAGAAAACTGTTACACAGTCTCAGAGCTCCTACCTTGGCGCCGGGGCAAGGAGCAATGCCATTGCCATTCACATAACCATTGAGGAGCTCAGCTGGGCTGCCACACCAACAGAATACTAATCTAACAGCAAATTACAACATATAAAACTGGTTTTTGCTGCAACAGAGTGTCACAAAGGGCAAGGAAGAACAAGGCATCTTGGTGTTGATTTAGCTCACCTTTTTACTCTTATGGAGCAGTAACTGCAGTGGTTTTACAGCTAGCTCTCAAAAGGATTGCTTATTATAGCCTGCTGGCTTACACAGACGAAGGTAGATACTCCTCTTTTGCAGTCAGTGAAGTCACTTTAAAAACAGAGGCCTGTGAAGGACCATTGGGATCTTCAGGCCCCACCTGCCACAGTCACAGGTAACTGAGTAGGTGCAGTCTGGTTCTAGTTCACAGCTGCTCTGTGGACTGGCACACACCATAAACACAAAACAACTAGGACTTTATTATAAAAACTATCAACAGCCACCACCACTGTAACATGGTGCAGGACCAGAGCAAGTCAGGTTGGGAATGTCAATATATTCCACAGTTCTTAAAACATCTCCTAAGTGACCTGACTATGTAGTAGAGACAAAGCTGCAAGTTATCCAGCAACTAGAAAGTCTTAATCATAAGAAGAAGGAGTTATTTTATACCTTAAAAATCCTCTACTCCACTCTAGTGAGACCTCACCTGGAGTACTGTGTTCAGCTCTGGGGCTCCCAACATAAGGAAGACATGAGGGGGACCATGAAGATGATGAGAGGGCTGGAGCATGCCTCCAATGAAGACAGGCTGAGAGAGAGTTGGGGTTGTTCAGCCTGAAGAAGAGAAGGCTCTGGGGAGACCTTATAGCAGCCTTCTAGTACTTAAAGAGGGCCTACAGGAAAGATTGGGAAGGGACTGAAAGAAGGTAGATTTGGAATAGATATACGGACAAAAATTCTTCCCTATGAAGATTCAGTCTGGAGAAGAGAAGGCTCCAAGGTGACCTTGTTGTGGCCTTCCAGTATCTTAGGGGGGCATACAAGAAGGCTGGGACTTTTTAGGCTATTGGGTAACGACAGGACTAGGGGGAATGGGGCAAAGCTGGAAGTGGGCAGATTCAGGCTGGATGTGAGGAAGAAGTTCTTCCCCAGGAGAGTGGTGAGACCCTGGAATGGGTTGCCCAGGGAGGGGGTTGAGGCCCCATCCCTGGGGGTCTTTAAGGCCAGGCTGGATGAGGCTCTGGGCAGCCTGATCTAGTGGGAGGTGTCCCTGCTCATGGCAGAGGGGTTGGAACTGGGTGACCCTTGTGGGCCCTTCCAACCCTGACAGGTTCTGATCTGTTTTAGCAGAGGCCTTTAGAGCCCTAATGGCTTAATGGTTGGACTTGATGATCTTGAAGGGCCCTTCCAACCTAAAGGATTCTATGAATCTATGGTGTGGCCCTGGAACAGGTTGCCCAGGGAAGTAGTGGGAGGTGTACCTACCCATGGTAGGGGAGATGGAACTAGATGATGTTTAAGGTCCCTTCCAACTGAAACTGTTCTATGAATCTGTGGGGAAAAAAAAAAAAGCCAACAACAAACGACCACATAGACTTCACTGAAGTCAGATGTGGGAACTAAAATGCTTATATTTGAAACAAGGCTCCTTTCTTTCAGCTATCTGGACTGTGGTGAAACTGCATAGCAGTAAGAAATGGAAGGAAGACAAAATTAAAGCAAATAGCAACACAGTTATTTAACAGACAGCCACAGCTGGACAATCTAAAGAACCTCCTATCTCAATATTCTGTCTCTAGCAGCAGTTAGTAACAAATATCTGAAGAAATATATCAAGAATAGACTATGCAACAGCAATACTTCCACAGACCACATTCCACAGCTCTCAGGAATGTGCAGTGGAGGGACAGCCTGAGCCTACAGGGGTACCTTTGTAATCAATAGCCCCTGACTGAAGAGGATGGTTTTGCAACAGCTTCATTTGCTCAAGAGCTCATCATACTCCCATTCAAGTTTTTGGCCAGCTTGCAGCTTTCAGCCGCTATCTGGTATCTGTTTAGTTTGTTTTCAGTTGGTCTTCCAGATTGCCATCCAAACTTAGTTCAGCCTTCAATTTGTTGTCTTACGTGTTCACAATGTATTCCTGTACATTATCTGTACATTCATCCATGCATAAAAGGACCTCACAAATGTCTGCTCCTTTTTTTTTTTTTTTTTTTTTTTTTTTTTTTAACACATAATGGTGTTTTTAAGAGCTTTCCCCCCCACCGTTTTCAGCAATTCCTCTTTAATAGGAAGCCCTAGAACTTGCTCGGACTTCGATAAGAATCCCTACTTTCCACAGCACACCAGGGGAGGGCAGCATTACCTTGCAAGAAAATAGCATTAACTGGGTAGTTTAAAACGTACACTATTCTTTACTGCAAAGTTACCAGTTCAGCTACGCTTACCATAGCTCATTTTAATTCTAGTTCCAACAATATTTTACTCGCAGTAGCAATTCATTTAATAATACCTCAAATTGCACGAACTACCCATGACTAGGTTAAAAACCAACTCAATTTTACTGTAACAAATGCCTTAAGATTAATCAATCCTCATAGACTGTTTAGCTAACAAAGTATCATTTTCTTAGGATAAAAAGTTGCTTTTCATTGCGCTCATCCACTTTAGTCCAAATGTAATTCATCATCCAGAAATTATACCAATAAATAATTGGTCTCATTCTTGGTAAATAATTATTAGACAGATTTATCCTAGATCTGAATATCTGGTCAACTACAAAAGAACAGAAATTTCCAAGATGAGACAAAGAAAATGAAACTAAACATCATTAAACTTCATAACCTACTGAAAGTAGCACTAGTTTTCAGAAAGATTTTAAAAACAGAAGTAGGCCTTTTCATAAAAAGTGCAAGACAATGAAAAAATGCTTGATATTAAATCCAACCCAAATAAGATTGATAAGGGCACCTCAGCTTACATAACGGATTGTTTCTGAAACGAGTAAAAACTTCACAAGCTGCAAATTATTGAAATTAAAAAGGAAAATGCTGAGGTTACACAAGACCACTGATCTTAAATTACCACACCCTGAAGCTAGCAAGACAGTAACTAGAGACCTGGTATTCTCACGGGTCAGTTTTTTCCAGTAATATTCTCAGCTGGTGTTATCACCTCTCTTTCAAGATCATTTTAATACTTAAGCAGCCGTAGATCTCACATGTATTCCAAAGAATTGCTTTTAATGCATGTTTTTAGCTAGCCCCCATCAATGGCAGAACTATTTATCTAAGCAATGGAGATGCACCACGGATGTTGCAGATTTATTGTTCTTGGTTGACGCGCATCGTAACTTTGATGGGTTGCATATTAGAGTGCATCTGACATTTTCAGTTAGATCCAGATACTCTTACTGCATATTACAAGAGCTGACAGGCTGAAATAATATTTCGGATTTCTTGATTAGACCTGAAAAGGTCAGATCAGCTCATGGCCAACAATTCACTCTGAATGTAGTTAAATGATATGGCAAATGGATTTACTGCACAAGTAAACATACACAATATATTGATTTAAAGTTCACACTGGCTGTCAGCATCTACAAAATACCTAAGGAGACAAAGGAACACAGACATCTAGACAAGTCTTTTGTGATTAGTTCATCTTCTCAGCATGTTAAATACTGAGAAAGCTTCTGTGTTAAAAGCCTGTCTTGTTATATTCTGACTGTACCTTACATCACAGGTTTGCTGTTCCACAGATCAGTGTAAGCTGGATGACACTTGTGCATCTGCTGGGGCTGAGAATGACACTTCTCCTGCTGATCTGATAACAGACCTCCCCACTGGGGATAACCACACTATATTCAAATGGCATCTCAATCAGCGTCTAGTGTACAGAATTTGGCAAGTGAGCGCTACATATGTGATATCAAAGCAAGGACCAGCAACTGCAACACTGGGGAGTGCCCACAGCCATTAATCCAGTGTGCACAGAGAGCACACAGCCACTGTCAGATCTGCTGAAAGACAAGGGAGAAAGCTTCACTTCCTAACTGGGAAAGGCGTTACAAAAGATCTCGTCACAACCAGGTATGCTACAGTGTATTAGTAGCAGCTACGCGCTTGATTTTCATTTATGAGCAAGTTAGAATATGTGTATTTAGAATTACAGGAATGTACTACAAGCCTGTAAAAAATTACTCTGAGGAAGGGAGTAAAAAGCTTCAACAAGACTGAAGAAAATAATGCATGTTGTAGTCAATAAGGGGGGATGCTGGGTCGTAGAACTATAGGGTGCTCCACCAGCTGGGTCTAATTTTTAAGTCAGGAGGTAGGGATCTCACTTGTCAGTACAGGATAAATGCAAGCAGTCTTCCCTTGTTTGTTGCGCTCTCTGATTTCACCTCAGATGTCTATTTTGTGATCATTTGGCTGCTGCCTCATCAGGTACCTCCAATACTAGAATGCATTAATATGTCAAATGTACTAATGCATACTTCAGCAGTTGGCAAATACCATAAAAAGCAAATAACTTTGTAGCAAAGTCCAATATTATTGACTGTGTAGGTTTAAAATTAGATGCTTAATTGCATATTCAAAACCTTAAATAAGTGCCATAACTTCTCTGCAGTGCCAAGAACTTCAAAAGCATTGGACTATTTAGACAGTTAAAAAAAAAAAAGTTTAGTTGCTTAGTAGATGATGTCATTGGTACAAGTCAGCAGGTATGAAAGCAGGTGTGGGGTTGGATCTGTGTATCCAGTTTTACTTTCTGAAGCAGCTTAAACATTGTGGAATTCAATTCATATTTGCAAAATGTATTTAAAAAGCTTACGATGTAGTGGCTCCTCTCCAATGATGCTCGCATTACAAATTCTGCAGTGTTCTTCTTGAGAGGTTAACCGAGCAACACAGGTAAAAATGTTCTTCTGTCCCTTTCAAAGGAAAAGTAAATCTCACTGTGCCAGAACTGAGAAGGAATAAAAATCCAAGACTCATCTAGCTTCATGACATAAATAAACCCCCCAGTATCTGGCATGTTTGCCTAAAGCTTCTCCTACCCTTTATCCTAGATATGCTTCCCAGGGCCATCTCAGTT